TGAATTGTTTTCTAGTCTGACATCACAAGTGCCCCTCATATCATCTGTACTCTTAGGATGCTCCTGTTTAGTGCCAATAGCACCTTCCTGCATGCCAAACAACAGTTACGTCAGATAGTGTAAGAAAGCATTAAACTGCATGTGATAAGAAAATACTGAACAACCAAAATCATGAAAATACTATTGTACATCATATTGGAGTTTTAACCTTTATATGGCTAATTATCATCAATACAGACCTTTTCAGCAGTTCCTGTACCATTCCCTTGCTCATGAACCTCTTCATCATTGTTATTACTTGGAGGGTCAATCTTCCCTTTATCAACATCTTCCTGAAAGTCACTACCAAATTGTAGATCATAACCAAGCAACAATTTCATCATCAATCTGTAATCATTTAACATGTTCCAGACCTTTGTTGCATCCCCATCACTCAAGGGGCCGTCATTCATTATACTATCAACATCCTCCTGAAAGTCACAACCAAATTAGATCATAATCCAGCAGCAATTTCATCATCAATCTGTAATCATTTAACCACCAATTAGATCATAACCTTCACCGCATCCCCATCACTCAAGGGGCCCTCATTCATTATACTATCAACATCCTCCTGCAATCAACAACCAAATCAGAACAACAAACAGCAGCCTCGTGATCTCATCAGTGATCAACAAACACTCCACAACTTTGCACACCATTGTTACCTTCCTTTCATCATTCAAGGAGCCATTCTTCTCCAGACCAACATCCTCCTGAAATCAATAACCAAACCAGATTAATTGACCAGCAATCTCACCAACCATCAACAAACACCATTTAACCGTAACAAGGTGCACACCTTCGCTGCATCCTTGTGGCCATTCTCCCCAGCATCAACATTGTCCTGCAATCAACAATAAAATCAGCCGAAGCACTAGCACACAGTCTCGTCAGTCAGCGACCTGCAGCAACGAATGGGATGAGAAACCTTTGCTTCGTGAGCAATAGCAGCGGCGTCGCTCTCGCCCTCGCCCTCCCTGGCGAGGAGGGCCTGGCCGAGCGTGCCGCGGGGGTCGATGACGATGCTGGGCAGCCGCTTGACGTCCCAGCCGAGCACGCGGCAGACGGCGGCGGCGAGCGCGCGGTGCGCCAGCGGCCTCCCGCAGCGCGTGGCGTCGCGCGCGTGGTGCACGAGGCTTTTGCAGTCCCGGAACCTCCTGGCCTGGCTCCTGCCCTTCCCCTTCCTCCCCACGCACCCCATGCACCGGAACTCCCCCTCCTCGTGGCTCCGCTCGTAGTACCCCCGCAGCGCGGCGTCCCGCTCGAACAGCCCCAGGAAGAACTCCGCCGCCGCGTCCCCGCCGTCCTCCGACTCGGAGCCCTCCGACTCGCCCGAGGCGCCGCGCCCGGAGAAGAACTCCTCCGCGGCGCGGAGGGCGTCCCGCTGCGCGAGCGAGGCGGGGGAAGGCTGCTGCGGCGGTGGCCTGGGCGCGGGGGTGGCGTCGGGCCAGGAGGCGGGGGATGGGGAGGCGGGCGGGGAGGGCGCGAGGGGCCAGTCGGCGCCGGGTCCCTCGGGCTCCGCGGCG